TCAACTCAGTAACCATCAATTCGAAGTTGGTCAAAGAATACCTAGGGAAGCTTTTTGGAATACCAAATAATAATATTCAAATCGTCACGGGGTTTTTCACAACGGGGTTTTGTCTTCTCAATAAACATCTCAGTAGATTGAAGCTAAGAAACAACAGTATATGCAGATTCTGTGGGGAAAATGGGGAAACACCAGAACCCCTCATCATTAAGTGCGCCGAGACGACAACCATTCGTGCTATAAACTTTTGTACGACTGATATCGGAGATGGAGACTAACCTCTGTAAAACCGTCTCAGATACTAGCTTTTCTCAAAGCCTTGTCAAAACAGTTTTGCTTTTTCTGTGTTCGCCCGATATTAGTACATATTCTGTAAAAATATAGATTCTTGTTTGATCGTTTTTTGTTGTCTTTCAGTATGGATTGATCCAATTGTCTAATGAGTCTAATGTTATTTTTTATACTGCTCGTTTGCTGTCTAATACTTAAGATATTTTAGTCATTTTATAGGTATATTTACAAATTCGTTGGTTGGAGAACAAGGAATATGTAAATATACTTTTTATTAATTATTTAATAATAATTTGAGAAAATAGTCTTCAACGAAAAATGTCCCTTAATGGAGAAAAAGCATGTACCAAATTTCATAAAAATATCTGAAGTAGCTCTGGCTTGACACCCTGAATCTAAAAAACATAACATCTTAGAACAACTTTTTACCTAAAATATCATTGAAAAATCACTCTGTAAAATGTCGGACGCTTATTTCAATATTTAATCCATAGGTAAATATACAAATTTACCGAGAAAATATAAGCAAAACTTTAAGTTTCCAAAATTAAACTCTTTTTATATATATAAGACTTTTATTCAAGAATATAATATTTTATCACCTTTATACGATACGATTAACATAATACGCGCAAGAAAACTACAATGGCCTATTTGTCCTAATTATTAAACCATTAATCAAAAAAGAAATACCTCGCCATGTTGCCATTCACGCCCGCTTTCATAGAAAGTTTAAGTCAATCTGCAAGTCATCTTTCAATGTGCACATCTGCCCAAAAGAACTCTGGGAATCTATAGAATTTTGGAATCGTTTTTTTCGGTTCGAAAAACATCACTGTACGCCTACGATGACTTTCTTTTATTTATTTATCGTTTCTAACCCCTACTTTATTTTACGGTTCTTAAGAGGCGGGAAAACTGATTTTAGCAGACTAATTGATGGAATTAGGTGATGAGACGTGGGTAAGCATCGATTTTTGCCTGATACCGATAACGTAACATAAAAAATAATTTGTATTACATATTTAAAATCGTTTGCTATTAATTTTATTTTTGTACCTAAAGGAACTATTAAAATGAAAGTGTATCGTATATATTGTGTATTGGTGAAACTGATTTTGATGATCTTTTTTAAGCAATTTGTAGTTAAATTATTTGACATTTTAGTGTTTCGTTTTAAATTAAAAATGAAAGTTCCCCATCTGTCAGTTATACGAGGAAACACAAAATGTTCTTATTTGGTGAATGTCAGCACCTTGTGGAATATGTTAAAAGGCAAGGAATTTGATCATCTAGGGTGCATCTTTTTTGTATAGTTTATTTTTTTATTCATCTCAATAGTTTTTGGAGATATTTGCTTTTTGAAAAAGACACTAACATTTTTTCATATTTTACATTAAAACCATACCTTGCTTTTTGGTCCCAGTCAACAGACCTGTCAGTTAGTGTTATAATTAATTTAATGTCATATCTTATATGATATATATATATATATATATATATATATATATATATATATATACAGTATATATATATATATATATATATATATATATATATATATAAATTCATTATTATTTGTTGTTGGCCGTTGGGCAGTTACTCTAGCAGAGATGGTTTTAAGTCCAGAAGTTGTATCCGCTTTAGTAGTTGCTTTAATTGAAGTATACCGGGTGTCGCATCGTCGAGTGACATAAGAAATCCCATTTACATTTTAATGGGGTCAATTATTGGCTTCCATAATTATTTTAGAGAATTTATTTAGGCGTTTATTGAAGAGAACTAAAACCCACATTCAAAAGAATAACTTTAGATATTTTTGATTAGCCCGTTTACGAGTTATCGCCGATTTCTTTTAAATATTTCTCCTTCTTATGGCCCTGTATTTACTTATGAGCACCAGTCAAGGTAAAAGATAACTGTCAAATGAAGTTGTCATTTCAGAAATTTATCTATTTAGTTCTTTATTATTATTATTAAAAACTCATACCTACATCGAAAATATTAGCTATGAATTACACTACCAAAGAAAAAGTATTGATGATTAAATGGTATTATCAAAGAAATAGTTATCAAAAGGTGTCGGACATGTTTGCTGCTCTGTATCCGAATAGACCGATACCTGGAAAATCTACAGTCGCAAGGAATATCCAGAGATTTGAGACCAAAGGTACCCTAATAAATAACTGCAGATGTGAAACAAGGCAGGAACAAAGAGAAGATGCAAGAAATGATACCGACTTGGTAGTTTTATTGTGCGTGGAAGAGAACGATGGAAAGATCAGCACAAGGAAACTTGAGGATGAAATAGGAATAGATCACACCACAGCGTTTCGAATTTTGAAACGACATAAATTCCTTCAAATATGAAAAGCACCAAGAGCTACGAGATGGGGACGAAATACGGCGGCAGGCGTTTTGTTTTGATATGATGGAAAGAGCAAACACGGATAGGGAATTTTTAAAATACATATGTTTCACTGACGAATGCACGTTTACCTTAAATAATGAACCCAGTGTTCAAAAGTATCGATATTGGAACAAAGAAAACCAACACAGGTTTGTCGAAACAAGGACGCAATATCCACAGAAAGTAAATGTTTGGGCGGGGATGTGACAATATTATCGGGCCAGTATTTCTTACGCGAAATTTAAATGCAGAATATTATTTGGAACTACTCGAAAATCATATTTTACCTGCTTTACATGATGCCGCTAGGGATAATCAGGAAGTTTGGTACCAAAATGGCTGCCCGGCACATAGTACCCTGGCTGTTCGGGAATATTTATATAGACCATAGTTTTAACGGAAACGTTATTGGCCTAAATCATACAGTAAATTGGCCAGCAAGATCTCCTGATATTTCGCCAAATGATTTCTTTCTCTGGGGCCATTTAAAAAACAGGATATACAAGGATAAAAAATACCCAAATCTAGACGAGTTAAAAAATGCTATTTCTGCCGAATGCAATAGAATTTCAGTTTACCAACTAGCGAATGTAAGAAGATAATTTTATGATCGCCTGGGTTATTGTCTAGCAGTCGATGGAGGAATATTTGAACATCTTAAATCCTAAAGTTCTAACAATTTAATAATACCTAAATTAATAAGTTATTAAATATTGTAATAATACTATAATTAACCTTGCAATTGATTACTTTATTTTACTTTAATTCATATTAATTTGTATTTATAAATACATTTTTAAGATTTCCAATGTAGGAATGAGTTTCCAATAATAATAAAGCACTAAATAGGTAAATTTCTGAAATGACAACTTCATTTGACAGTTATCTTTTACCTTGACTGGTGCTCATAAGTAAATACAGGGTCATAAGAAAGGAGAAATATTTAAAAAGAACTCGGCGATAGCTCGTAAACGCGCTAATCAAAAATATCTAAATTTATTCTTTTGAATGTGGGTTTTAGTGCTCTTCAATAAACCTAAATATAATTATTCTCTAAAATAGTTAGGGAAGCAAATAATTGACCCCATTAAAATTTACATGGGATGTCCCATCCGACGACCAAACCAAACACCCGGTATAGTATATAGTTGCGTTAATTGAAGATTATAGAGATCAAAATTATGTCGCTAACAAATTTAGGTGTGCACGAAGTATAGTACAATCGCTTCCTCGAGACAAATTCATATGCTAGAGTCCAGGAACCTTTGTATGAGAACTTCGAATCGAGACGATCGACTTATTGTAAGTTTATCACTAAGGAACGAACTGACGAAGTATGAAGGGTCTATTAGAAGAATATTAAACGAAGTAAATCTTATATCAAGAAAGCCTGCTTGACCACAACTTACTAGGTCTTGTGACTAGGACCAAAAGCAAAGGCATGATTTTAATGTAAAAATGACGAAAAATTCTTGTGTCTTCTTCAAAAGCGAATATCTCCAACAAAAATAAAGCTATTGAGATGAACCAAAAAACAAATTAACGGTAAAGAATATACCTGGATGATAAAATGATTCCTTGCTGTCATAACATATTCCTCAGGGTTTTTCAAACTTTCACCAAAATATCAACATTTTGTTTTCCCCCGTAAATTGACAGATGGGAACTCTTTCATTTTAATTTGGAAAGAAATGCTGAAAAAGTTAAACAATTTTACTACATACTTCTTAAAAAAAAATCATAAAAATCGATCCATCAGGAACAAAATATATTAAGTTTAAAATACACCAAAATTTTAAGGTGCCTTGCTTATCTTAAAATCTTTGAATATTTTATAAAAATTAACGATTTTATATATAGAAGAAAATGTTGTATACCTTATTGTGGGTAATATTGTAATAATAGGCTTTGTCAAATTAACTACTTGCTACTGGATTATTGTATTATATACGGCTTATTCTACTTGTACAAAGCTTAAATACAAGTATGTTAATCCGTAACATCATTGGTCCAGAACAGAAGATGCTTCAACGTCTTGAGAGAATTTAATGGCTATTCACCACATATATAATTAAAGAAAATCTATAATTACATTCTTGAACAACGTGATTACATATGTATGGCCGTAAATGGTTTCTAATTAGATTTTTCATCATCAAGGTTAATAGTTGTTGGATCTTTTAAATATAGTTTAATGTTATTTTTAAACTATGCGATGAACATTGAATTCTATTTTAGATATTTCTAATAAACCCCAATTACTTATTAAATAATCAACAATGTTTTTTCGCTTTTTCAGATGAATCAAACATGTAAAGTTTGGGTGGTGAACCAGCAGCGGGATTCCATTTGGTGCCTTTACTTGTGAGGGCTGCAAGGTAGTTTAATGTTTAAAATTTAAATTAAAATGTTGCCATCATATTCAAATTCAAATTTCTTTATTAGACCCCATTAAGTTTTACAGAATAATATTAGTATTAATAAATGTGTGTCTAAAGGGATCAAACCGCGATTAAAAAAACCGATACAATGGCACAAAGTGCCAGAGTGGTGCGACCCCAAATACAAAATAGAAATAAATTAAATTATAGAAATAAACAAAATTAAAAAAATGAAAATTATATAAAAAAAGTGAAAATATAATTTTATCAGGGATGAGCGGAGATAAGCAGAGAGGCATAATGAAACAGTGTAAAAACCGGAACAGCAACCAATGACGGGCATATCAGAAGAACAAGATCTCACAAATCAGTCGAATAAATTATAATATTTACGAATTTAGTAAATGATTTTTAATTTGTTTTTTTAATCTGTAAAGGATTGAAATTTAAAGTTATTAGAAAAATATTATTCCACAAATGTGGCGCTGTAAAACTGAAAGAGTTTGGAAGTTAGCTGTTCGGTGTTGAGGAATTTTAAAATAATGCACATGCCTAGTCGAATGATCATGGTCAACGTAATGAAATAGTGGGAATAAATAGGGAGGCTGTTTTGTAGTTAAAATTCCATAAATGAATGTCATTAAATGAAATTGTCGTTTATTAGTCATGGATAAAGTAGATAAATTATTAAGATGTGGCGTTATATGATCTCTAAAAATAATGTTAAAAGAAAACCGTAGATACGAATTCGATGTACCATAAACAACATCGCCGTGATCAAATAAAGATAAAATAAGTGTGTCACATAATTGATACTTAGTCTTTGTTGGTATATATTTCTTAGACGAAAAATTCTTTTTTTAGACGGATTTTTAGTCTCTGAAGCAATGGGTATCACAACATTATCTATATGAATATTCGTCTTACCAGCCGTATGTGTAATTTTGTTTATATCACTGCCAAATATTATAACACAAGATTTATCGGCATTTAATTTTAAACTATGATCCGGAGCATATTTATTAATTTTATTCATAGAGTCGTTAAAATTTAACTGAAATTGTGCCAAATTATTAATATCTATATTGCAATAAATTTGAGAATCATCTGCATATTGCTGCAATTTAGAAAACTGCAGTTCCTTATCCATGTCAGCTACATAATAATGAAAGTAAAAGTGACCCCAGAATAGATTCCTGAGGAACCCCAGAAATCATATGGATATAATTAGGTTTTTGTTTTAAACTTCCCCTTTTTAAGACAACACAATGTGATCTATCTTTTAAAAGGTTTTTTAACAATACTAAAGAGCCGCCCGAAAATCCAAAATATTGTAATTTTGCTAGAAGCAATGACTGATCTAGACAATCAAATGCTTTACTAAAGTTTAGTGAGCTAAGACATGTCATATTTTTATTATCTTGATTTGTTCTAATATAATTAACCAGCTTCAGTAGACAAATGATAGTGCTGTAGTTCTTACGAAAACCAGACTGGCATTCAGGTATTAGTTTATTTGAATCTACAAATGAAACAATTTGATTATGTAGATGGTTTTCTATAATTTTAGAAATTGCTGGCAAAATACTCACGGGTAGCTCAGATCGTTATTATTTAAAGGTTTGGAAATTTTACAGAGAGGTGTTAATACAGTGTTAATAATAGCTTTTTTCCATATTTCGGGATAGACACTGAAAGAAAAACAAGTGTAAAGAACAGATATTTTAATGTTTTGCGTGCACCTATGCGTTACCTACTAACCAGGCTTTTATTTTATTTTTTACACAATCAACTGTGATACCAGCAATCGCAATTCGGTAACAACAAACACTAATGGATTAAAGTCATTGCGACAATTGCTTCTAACCGGGTTATTCAGGCAGGGTAATGTTGGCAATATGTCGTCGATATTACAATAAGTATGTGATCGTTGAACCATATACATTTTCTTTGTTTCTCTTTTTCTCCTTGTTTAATCGAAATTTGTATGTATTGTATGATTATTTTGCATTTTTTGTATTAGTGTATTCAAAAAACAACATATCAATCAAAATACAACAAATCAAAATACAACATACAACATATTTATAAGATGCACACATTATAATCTTTTGTAACCATGATATTATTACAAAAAATACCGTAAGATCTAAAAAATGTCAAAGAATGACAATTGTATAAGAAATGTGTGTCCTAAAATGCTTAGTTTCGAGATACAGGATACAGGGTGTAGAAATTTCATTTTTATTTGGATTTTTTCCAAATAATTTCATTTTAATGAAAATTGCTGTCTGTGAGTTTGGTTTGGTTTTGGGCTGGTAAAGTCAAAACTGTCTCCTCTTACCCTCTACAGGCTCACCGCAAAGAAGAGATTTCGATAGGCGGTTTTCTTACATCCTGCAGAAATCAAAACAAAAAAAGAGCTCTCTCTCTCTCTCTCTCTCTCTCTCTCTCTCTCTCTCTCTTGCCTTGCCCCCACTTACTTGCCAAGTAAACTGTAAAAAAGACCCATTGAACAAACCATAATTTGCGTTAATTCCTTAAATCATTCTTCTTTGCGTTATTTCTTATAAACCAGACAATTAAAATAAACACGGACCAATAGATATCAAAACAAAGCCGAAGAAAAAACGCCGACGCCGCGTTGCATATCTCAAGATCGCCTAATAACAACAATATTCGATCTTGGACGCGCTCTGCTTGGCGCGACCTCTGGCTCCGGACGCGCGTTTTTCGTCCAAATCATCGGCTCGCCGCTCAAATTGGACGTGACACTTGACGCTGTCGCGGTTCAACAAGCATAAAATCAGATCGTGGCTATTTATACCGGCTGAGATATGGTTGCCGTTTGCGAGTTTGTGTAAATTGAAATGTGCAACGGAATGTTTTGCGTAAAAACTAGCTCGTTGGCTTTTAAAGTCCTAAAGATCTCTACGAGTGACATTGACATGGTTCATTATGTTGTTTCTTATTAATGTTTAAAGTGACAGTGGAAAATAATGCATTCCAAATAAGAAAGAAGTAAAGAAAATTTTGGAAGAAGATTAAAATAGGTCACACTTATCTAACCCCTTCATTCTTCTTGGTAAAGGACCATTTAGTCTCAGGATAGATTAGGTTAGGTTGGGTTGCCAGCATATATTCCCAGGACAGTCCTCTTTTGATATCACTGTCCTCTTTTCTCTCGCATTGGAAAAGTCGTCTTTTTGACATACCAAACTTAAAATCTAAAAATATTCACTCTATCATACAATGGGTTAAAAAATGGTTAATCTGTGTCTTTTGCTACTCCACTCGTTTGCTGAAAATAAATGAAGAAATATTTATGTGTACAAGAAATCAAGTTGCAAAATCCGCCTTATCCATTTAAAAAAAATGAGCTTAATGACATAAACACAGTCCCAAACTGCAACAAAAGTCGCCTATTCCTAGATAAAATTCACTACAAATTACGTTACTGCAGCGAAATCCATCTTATACATTTACATTTGATTTTTATTGTCATTATTGTTACAAATCCCGCATTTTTTCCGATGTGCTGCTTCCTCTAGTCCCTCCAAAAAATCGTGCCCTAAAACTTTAAAGCGTCGGTTTTCCAGTGCCGGACAGTGGTACAGCAGTTGATCTATAGTTTCTTCTTCCTCTCCCAGCTTCTCTGTAGTCTTCCATCTCACGAGGTTTACCCCCATGGGACAGTTTCCAGTAACTACACCTATAATTTTGCGTAATAAGTTCTTTCTGTGATCTAGTAGTTGTTTTGCCTCTTTTTTATCTACCACTGGCCACAGTTTTCGAGCTGTAGCGCAGTCCTCACGGTGTCAAGTCTCTTGCTATTGGCCTTGATGGTGGTTCCTTCAGTGTGTTGATCGTCACAAGTAGCGGGTCGTCTGCCACGGCCTCTCCCCTGGTCAGCTCTTTGGCGAATCTATCCGCTTCTTGGTTGTCCACCAGATTGCTGTGGCCGGGCACTCAGCACAGAGTGATCCCGCTTTGACCTAGCCAGGGCAGTGCTTCTAGGTGGTTCATCACAGTTTTCGATCCCACCGATTGCATATTGATGCTTTAAGAAGCATCATCATGTAATAATATCAATAATCAATAATATAAATGAATAGCTTTAAGAAGCGTCCAAACTGTCAGAGTCCGATATCTCAATGATAACAGATATTCAGGCTGGGCAGCAATGCTATATCCAAACTGCTTCCATTTAAATCTGGAATAACTTATGAAAAGAATACGAAATTTTCAAAAATGAAGCAATTAAAATGTCCGTGAAGAAATAAAGTTTTTTTTATTTTATATTTTAGTACTATTTTATCTACTAAATTTGACAGATATAAGGCAATTTTAACAGTTGCTATGGAAATTTTTTATTTGTTTATTACTATAAAAAAGATATAAATAAAAATATAAATATCTCTCCAAATCTTTAATATTTACATCATCTCTGATGGCTGCATCTTTTCACTTTCGTGCTTGTTAGCCGAATCTAAATCGTTTATCTCGCTTGCGCCATCGTACACATATTAATTCTTCGCCGATAAAACAAACAATTTCTTTCGCGCGAAGGCTTAGATTTGCGCAAGAAAAGGGGAACAAGGATAAGAAGAAGAAGAATCGAGCACGTCTCTTCCGGCCTAAGAACAATTCAAATGAGTTCCTTCCGTTCGCGGTTGCGTAACGTTAGTCATCCTTTTTACGCTCTGATTGAATGGGAGCGATTATGTAATGGTCGGTAGGTATGCAAAACGCCCGGATTGTTTTGGGCGCCTATTCCAAAACTTTATAAGACAATGTTATTTAGGTGATTTGAAATTATTTTATCTTACGTACAGTATGTCACATTTCAATTATTTCTCACAGTGTGAGTGAGTGTTCTTCTACCCAGTGTACATTTTAATTATTTCTCACAACTAATAGTCTGTATTGCCTCCTCGAGCCTCAATGCAAGCTGTGAGACGACGTGGCATGCTCTCAATTAAGTTGTCCAGAAGATGTTGAGGAATGACTTCCCATGTTTCGCTTGCAGCAATTTTCAATTCATTTAAGGTACGGGGAGATCATTCCTTTTGGCAACCATGGCGTTTAGCATGTCCCAAGCATGCTCGATCACATTCATATCTGAAGACATCGGTGGCCACCACGGTTTTCTTATACCCTCTTCCTCACAAAATTCGCGAACCGCTAAAGTGCGATGGGGAGGAGCATTATCGTCCATGTAAACAAATTCATCCCCCACTGCCCCTCGAAATGGACGCACAATAGGCTATAAAACGTCTCTAAGATAAGAGGCACCTGTCATTGTGCCATCAATAAAAACAAGTGGAGTTCGAGCTCCATGCATTATACCTGCCCATTTAAGCTGCATTTAAGCGTGCTCGTCTTCCAGATGCTCTCCAGACTATAGTTCGTCGCGAGTCTGATACTAGGCCTATTCTTGTTTCATCACAAAATGACGAGGGTCCAATTAGGTCCATTTGTTCTCATCTCTTCAGCCCATTGTAGTCGCTGTAATTTTGTGCTGTAAATTAAGCTTCGAAACACATAGAGGCCTCCTTAAATGTAATCGTCTGTCATTGAGTTTTTCTTGCTATGTGGTCTTTCTTGAAACATTTACTCCTTCAAGGCGAGCTAACTCATTTTAATAGCAGTACTAGAAAGCAGGGATTGCACCGTGCAATTAGGAATATTTGACGGTCTTGCACAACAGTAATAACTCTCTTTCTACCTCTTCCAGGTCGGTCTGTAACCTCGTTTGTCTCCCTGATTATTTTTAATATTCGCGAAACATCGCTTTGGTTAACTCTACAATTTCAGCTATTGCAGCTTGCCGGTAGCCCTGTTGAGACAGTGTTACTATTCTGACTATTAAACTGTGAAATAATGTTTCTAGACATTTTAAGGCCAAAACAATGGGCAAAAATAGCTTTATTAATTATTTGTGGATTTTCATCATTTCAAGAAATAGGTCACACACTGTAATTATGCTACTTTTCATAATGCTCTAAAGTATTTAGGGCGTTGTCTTTGCATCGGGAGTCCTTCGAGGACGCCGACCATCCAGTTCAGCGGGTCGGACGTTGGCCAATCCGTCTTCGATCTCGTGCAACGCACTTTAACACTGTTGCCTCGCACCGCCGCCCAACTGTGTAATCGTTGACTAATTTCGTACAATTATATTCAAATGGAGAATGAAGAAAAAAAGGAGGAAAGTACGACCGGAACATGAGACGGAACGTGGCGCTATTCAAATGAGGAAAAAACTTATTTTACGTATTTTATTTTTATATTCAACAGCTGAACTTTATTTAGAAAAACGTTATTTACTCGAAATTTAAAGAACTAATGCCTCTAAATTAGAAAAAAAAAAACTATTTCAATGTGCCCAAACCATGTTTAGGACTAATAAAAACTAGATAAAATGTTTGAAACATTTCTTTGTTTATAGAAACTCAAATTTGTACAAATTTTCCCGAACCTCATAAAATAAATTGGAATTGTTGAATAAATTGAAATTTCAATCTAGAGTGCCATGGTTCTGTTAAAACACTAATTTTTAATCAAGGGCAGGCTCATTACCGTGTTTGGAAAAAAGTCTTTTTTATGAAAAATTTGGCACCACACACACTTGGTGTTTGGAGTCAAATTGTTGATACATTTTTATGGCTCTGACACTTTAACTTTATTTGCTATTTTTTAACTCAAAACATTAAAAGAATGACATATGATGTAATTCTATTCAAATGCCATTTTCTATCAAATGAAGTAAAAATTACGAAGGTGTCATAAAAATCAAAAGTTGTACTAATTTAGTGTTGCCAAACGTCCTCTATTCCAGAGGACAGAGGACATTCCCCTTTTTGATCTCACTGTCCTGTTTTCTCCCGCGTATTGAAAAAATCCTCTTTTTTACATAAAAAACTTAAAATCTAAAAATGTTTGTGTATGGCCACAATGGCTTTAAAAATGGTTAATCTGTGTCTTTCGTTACTCCCACTCGTTTGTACGGTTGTATTTTACGTTTACTTATTTTACGTTTACTGACATTTGGGCGAGGTTTCAAAAATATTTCACTTGTGCCTCTTTTTTACCATCCCGTCCTCTATTTTTTATTTTGAAAGTTAGCAACTCTATACTAATTTCCGGTGACAACAGGAGGTAACCGAAACTCAACTGAATATATACGAATTTCATAATTTTCATTTATGTTATATACTAACATAACAAATTTAGTATTTTTATTTGAAAAAATAAAAGTTATAGAGGGTGGACCACTTTTGAGAAACACACGGTATACTATTAAGCAAATGATACAATATTTAATGCACATTAAATAATTTAGTTCGAGACCATGCAAATAGTAAAGAGAGCGAAAAAGAGCAAACAAAGGTAAAAAAGCGAAACGCGCGTGAATCCCGTTTTACGTATGGCACAGCGCCATCGCCCGGTCATGCGTGGCAACTACCGGCGCTCCGTCCGACCGACTTTTCACGCTCGACGGAATCGGAAATTGAAAATGACGCGTCGGCGACGTGACGCAATCGTGCCGAAACGCTACCGTTTTTGGGGCGTTTTATTTTCGATTTTTACCGGCTAATTTGGCGTGAAGAAACGAAATGGAAAACGATTTGAAGATTCGACCTTGATATACATTTTGTGACCAGCTGAGTTAACAAAATGTAATAGAATCTACTAAAACAATTATAAGCAAAGATAGATAAATAGATGTACAAAAGTTCTTCAGCCAGACAGTTTGGATATATGAATTATAACAAGATATACAGGGGTGGGCCGAACTGTATTCAGGAAACTTCGGCAGCATATTCTGCAGATAAAAATAAGTAAAAAAGTTCGTATAAAATATATGTTCTAAAATGCTTAGTTTCGGAGATACAAGGTGTAGAAATTTCATTTTTTATTTCGATTTGAGTAAACGTAACGTAAAGTAACTGCGATATTTCGATGAAAATTGGTGTCTGGAAGTTATTTGACAGAAATTTGATTTTGATGCCAGTATGACTCCTATTTGTAGGGGGCTCCACCTACATGTCTTTTAACTGTTTTGAAGAGTTTTTTGTCTTTATTCGATAGAAAATGACACTGTGAATAGAATGACATATGTCAGCACGGCATTTTCACTTTAAAAAATCCTGTTCTAAATTTCAATCACAGCTACCGTCTATGTTAAAACCGTTAATTGCTAATTAAGGAGCCTCGTTAAAATAGATTTGGTTGTCTAATGTTTTTCGTTTGTTGTCCTGGTCCGTTAAAAGATGTAAATGTCCTTCTATTTAGAGAGTGTCATTTCTATCAGATAAAGAAATAAAAATATGGTACTGAAGGTATCATTTAAAAATCAAAGTTGTAGTCATTCCGGTGAAATCGAGTACAAAACAATTAGACGTCAATCAATCTAATTTATGTCATATGTTAATCTAGTTGTTTTTGTCAAAAAAAGCCAAAATTTATAGGGGTGAGAGAAATTCTAAGACAAGTGGAGCTAATTTGTCATCTGACATTTTGTAATGTTATTTAAATTCAAGAGTTGTGTTTTTCAAATTGGTGTAAAAATATAATATTTACTCCTCAGAAACATAGCCAAATAAATGCAATACACAATAAAATAAAAAAATATTACAGTATTTTTTTTTAAAAAAATGTGTTATACTAAATCGGTTAAAATGGTATTGCTTTTTAATATTAAATTTTACAAAATAATATACAGAAATATTCAACTTATTAATTCATATTTCTAGAAAATTATGCAACAACAAATTAAGAGTGTGCTTTTTATATTGTTTAATAACGTTAAAGTAATGTATATTACGAAAATTGAAAAAAATGATATGATAAATTGAGCTTTATAAGGTTAAGTTCACAAGTCCATGTCTATCTACAAATCGGTCAGTTCAATTTCAAAATATGTCGACTTTCATCAATATGCAACGACACCTGCGGTCAATTCAATTATCGAGAACAAATATTCCTTTTATTTTTCCCACATTTTTAAAACAACTACGAACTTTCGACATCACAAGGTCGATAGGGTATAAACTTGTTTTTGTTGTTAGTGTACGTTTTTTACATGACAAAATCAAATAAATCACCAGAAACATTTGTTTTTAACGCGTCTTTTTTTTTCTTGTTCAAGTCTTTCTTCGGACGATCCTACAACAACATCAGCTCGATCAACGACTGTAAGAACAACAACAAATGTATCATCAACAAGAAAAACAGAACCGCCTGCAAAGCTTGTAGGTTACGCAAGTGTATGCTAGTGGGGATGTCCAAGAGCGGGTCCAGATATGGTAGACGATCAAACTGGTTCAAAATCCATTGTTTACTGCAGGAACAACAGCAGAAACAAATGCAAGAGAATGGAGAGGACGGTGGCAATCAGGAGTTACTGCAGCCCCCGATGAACACACCTGTCAGCAATCAACAAATGGGAATGAGACTCCTGAGCGCCGGGTCTTTTCCTCCGCCTTTACTGCATTTGCCCAGAACCAGAGAAGAACTCTTGCTTTTTGGAATTGAAGAACCTCTCAGACACTCTGCATCGCCTTCAGTTAGCAGTCCCGAATCGCATAACTCTGATTCGTCCGTCGAAGTTCCAGATGCTCGACGATTACCACTCATTCCAGGATTATTACCGCCAACGTTTCTTCCGCCGCCTGGATTCCTGTTTCCACCTCCATTCTATCCAGGATTACTCCAACCAGCCCTACCCAACCACACCATCAATAACAATAACAACGAAAAAATCGTGAGGACGGTGAATCGTGAAGTCAAAAGAGAGTACTTAGACGCTGTACTGCAACTCCAACGTACCTCCACGCCCCCAGAAGATCCAGAAGATGACGAGGACGAGGAAGTTGATGTAAAAACCATCACCACGCCACACGTGAGTCCAGTACAAGACACCCCAATTGATCTAAGCATGAGATCTATGAGCGAAAGAGGTTCATCCCCAGCTCAGTCTGAAAGATCCGGTATTTCAGTGATGACAGAAAGGTTTCATGGGAGTGAAGGAGACGAGGAGAGCGACTGCGACTCGGAAAATCGAGGTCTCAAAGGCCTAACGTTAGTCAGGCCCACTCCGTTGGATCTGACGACTAAAGTCTGACCTTGTGATGATACGTGTTTTAGCTATTTACTTAATTTATTTTTGGAACGAATGAAACTTAAAGGTGAACGCACACTGAATCGACTTCACCCGGTCCATTTAACTAAGAGCTGTCGACAGTTTTTACTTTAAGATCCAGACCGATCGACGCGCGACGGTGGCGACGTCAATTCAATGCTCGGGGATACATTTAAATCTATACAGGATGTTCCAAAAACATGTGCCATCTCTCGTGGGGAGATTCCTCACGTAAAAATTATATTATTTTTCCATATCAACATTGGTCCGATTCTGCTTTGTTCCGCAGCTACAGGGTGTTAAAAAATCTTAATAACCTTTCGATTTATTATAATTTCCTTCAAGTACTTTTAATTTGATTTGAATGAAATTTTGAGGTAAAAGTTACTATAAAGTGTCGATAAATTATTCAGGGACGATGCATATGGGTTATCACTGGAATAGTTTTCAAAAAAACATGTGCGCCACTGATTTTTTCTTTGATTTCTCAAATTTTGTAGGCCGTCTAATACCACTTAAAAGTTATCTGTTGATATTTTGTCGATGATGAGATAAACGCAATATTATTAATCACAATTAATAAAATTAAAAATAAAATTAAAATGAAAAATTTTTATATTTTACCTAATTTACTATTAAATATTATTAGTATTAGTCAACTACAGAAATTTCAAATAATAAAAAAATAATGATATTTAAGATAATTACAAAAGACCTAATTTTAAAAGTTTTAACATCCTGTAACTCTAACCAAACCAAGCTATGCATTTCCATATGCATGTTTCAAAGGAACTTTTTAATATAAATCTTGTTTTTACATCAGGAATCTCCCCACGAGAGATGGTACATGTTTTTTGAAACACCTGGTATCAAGCGAAACCCATCGATAGCTCTTAGTTAAGTGGACCTGGCGAGGTTGATTCAGTCCACGTTCGCCTTAAGACAATCTATAGACGATCTACATCGAGAATATTCATAATGTGCATAAGAATTTTATAATGTACATAATTTGGTTACTTTAAAACTACAACATTTCAAATTAATTTTGATGTAAGCTTCTAAACACAGTTCTAGTTCCTCCTTGACTCCACCAAGTAAATACTTTATGACCGTTTTATTGTTAATAGCAGTAATCCACTAACTAATATATCGAAGAATCTTAGATATATGAACCTAATGAATAAAAATTTAGCAATTGCTTTTTCTTTTAAAGTAATCTCTTTTGCTTCCAGCAATTGCTTTAAATTACAGAGGTTGCTTCTAGCTAAAGCTATTTCTTAAAAAATAGAAGCAATTGACTGACATTTGCTTAAAATGATATGAATACATTGAGGAAAAGCTTTTGCTAGATTTGTAATTGAATAATTCGAGTTTGGTTTATTTTGCGGTATACTTGTGTAGTTCTATTAAAAAGGGATAATCCAATAGTGATTTTTAATGTATGTAGTACAAATCTTAGTACTCCACGAAGGCAAAAGGGCATACTTAACATTTTTTCAAAGGCCTTTAATTTTCTCGTTAAACGACAAGTCAGGACAGAATATCGTCAGACGATTTCTAAAGGTGCGTTCAGACTCGAACATTTTAGCCTAAACGAACAGAAGGAACCGAATGCGCAGAGCAAAATTTGCTACGTCTGATCCCGAAATCTGGAACTTCCACATGTTACGCTTTCAAAGTGGCAAGCGAAAGTAGCCGTTTGGCAGAACTCTAAGCAGTAGATTTTGGTATTCTCGTTGGCATGCAAATCGTTTTTTGGATACGAGTTGGCAGCATCGCAATTTCTCAGGTATCTAATAGTCAAATGTGGATAAAAAGATGAAGAATGTCAATCTTGCATGAATTTCGTAACCTATTGTTGAGTTATGTCAACCTATTTTTCTATAGATATGTCCAAGATATTATTCTTATTATACGAGGCAAATTTTGAAGACGCTTCTCAGCATTTTCGATGTTTTGAACAATATTTATAGCTGCCAAATCGTAAATTATCAATTACTTATTGAGTAATTTATAGATGAAGATGTAATTTTCACTAAAGAATAAGATAACGCACAAAATCACAATTTTTTCGATTTTTACTAACAGTTCGATAACGATCCTGTAAGGTAGTTGTTTTCGAATCGCTTAGCGCAATCGTAAAGACGCTAAGCGCGTCAGATGAGAATACCCAAATCGATAGTTAGGTAAGCGAAAATTAGTTTAGCGCGGTAAGCGAAAATTAACGTCATATACGCTGAGCGTCCGAATTCTGTAACTTTGACATAAAAATGTACGCTTTCAAAGCGGTAAGCAAAAATTCGATGAGCGGACCGCCAAGCGATCGATTTTGGTAATTTTGCCGTGCAAAGATGTTCCTGGATACAGTTTGAGCTGCTATTGACAGCATCGCAATTTCTCAGGTATCTAATAGTGGAAATGAATAAACAATGAATGTCAATTTACGTGGACTGCCAACATATTGTTAAACAACCCTATTTTCTGGATTTGTCACTATTCTTGCTTATTATGCAGGGAAATGTTGGAGACGCTCCTGAGCATTTTCGATGTTTTGGAATAATGTTTATAGTCGTAATTATAAATACTTATTGAAATTTATAGAAGGAAAGTAGTTTTTCACTAAAAAGAGCAAGAGAACGCACAACAGCAGTGCCTTCCAAACACATAAGGATAATTCTATCAAAATACTGACCCAATTTTTCAATAAAGTATATGAAACCGGAACAATCCCCGAAGACTGGGTAACATCTACCTTCATAGCTTTACCCAAAAAGAATAAAGCGAAGAAAAGCGAAGACCACAGAATAATATGTCTGATGAGCCACGGAGCGAAAATCTTTATGCGAATAATATTCAATAGAGTATACAGCAAATGTGATGATTTCCTTACTAGATCACAATACGGTTTTAGAAGTAGGACAGGGACAAGAGAAGCCATCCTGAGTTTAACGTTAATCGCAGAGAGGTATATGGAAGTCCAAAGGAAGCTGTACGTATGTTACGTTGACTACAAAAAAACTTTCGATCGAATACAGCACGAAAAATTACTAGAAGTTCTCACTGAAGTAGGCTTGGACGAGAGAGATATTATTATTATAAGGAACACATACCGGGAATTAGAAAGGTTGTGTCAGAAGAGAAAAAGGAAGTAGGTACAAGATACGTAGACATACAAAGTGGTGTCAGATAGGGATGCATATTATCACCATTATTGTTTAACGTTTATGCCGAATATATAATCCGAAAATCTTTTCAAAATTTTCCGGAAGGGGTTAAAATAAATGGAAAAATTATAAATATAAGATACGCAGACGACACCGTGGTATTAGCAGAATCCGAAGCAGCTGCGTATCAGGGGGGATGAGTCTAGATATTAACACCGTCAAGACAATAACTATGGTTTTCAACAGGCATCCGTAAGACAATGAAAACACCGGCATAATGATAAACGGCGTCCATCTCGAAACCACGCAGAGATATATTTACTTGGGCTGGGAATTAAACAGCCAGCTAGACCACTCTAAGGAAATCAGAAGAAGGATTTAAATAGCTAAGGGTGGTTTCCTCAATATGCGGAAGTTCTTATGCCATCCGAAAATAATCTTTAATTCTTATGCCATCCATACCAACGAGGCTAAGAAGAACATTAAAATGTTATATATAGCCCTTACTTCAATATGGATGCGAAACATGGATGCTAAAACAAGATTTTAGCATCTTTAGACATGAAACGCTTTAATGCGTTTGAAATGTAGATGTATCGTCAGATGCTGAGGATAAGTTGGACCTCCAGAACAACAAACTGTGAAGTTTTAAACAGAATGCAAACTCGTGCACACCTAACAGGCACAATTAAAATCAAAAAGA